CGAAGCGAAGCTGCCGCAGACTTTCGTCTTGCCCCACGAGAGATCGCTTTCAATTTTAATGATGATGGGTTTATTGTATGATTTCTTCTTTTGCCTTTGTTTATGCTGCTGCCGCTCATAACTTGTCATAAATTTGACAGGCAGAACACAGTCCATGCGGGTCCATTATGTACGTATGTACAGATATAGAGGAGTACTCAAACGTACTCCAGAATGCGGGGAACTCTTCTTTTCTGACGAGTCCCACATAGTTTTTGGTTTTTGAATTGCAAATAATAATGACGCACTAATTGCAGCGAGTTAAAGAATTCTCCTTCGTTTCCTTCAATTGAAGAACCATAAAGACCAAGCCGAAAAAAGAAACCATCAGCATCAGCCGTGGTGGAAGTCGAAGATGTAAAAATATATTTTATGACCAAGCAATTGGCTATGAAATTAATTTTAGGAGAGGACAACCAGAAGCTGTGCGGAGGGGCAGTTAGTCGCAGTTCCGTGGCAGGAACTGAAATTAATGTCGCGTGCAGCAGCAAAATGAAAGGAAGCAGCAGCGACGACCCCAACCTGTGTGGCATGGTAGTGTCGTATGAGTGCTCGTACCTGTTCGTCGGTTCGGCATCGCCTTCGAACAACTCTTTGAAGTGGAACATCTCTTTGAAGTACACTCATAATCGTACACTCGTAATAACTGCACAGGAATAGGAATCGGGTGGCGCCCCGTTCCCAATTAAGAAGTTTAAGAGCCCAGCCCCAAAGATCGCTGACCAACAGCAGAGGAGAGCAGGGCAGGCCATCACCTGACTCCACTCCACGTGATTGAGCGATCCAGGCCAACAATCGTTGGCAGACACCGAAAACAAGACGTCATTGGTGGCAGGTGTCTGTAAAAATGTTTAGACTTCTGACCAAAAGCTTGGCAAGTGTTTGATTTACGCTTGTGTGTTCGTTCCTCCGTCCTCCATCTCTCGAAGAAGAAAAACCAAAAGTTTGTTTTTCATAAACAACGATTTATGTTATGTATGAAGTAGGTTCGAGGGAAACGAAAATTTCTTTTGTTTCCCAGTTAGGAAAACACAGGAAATTGTCTACATACAAATGTTTTTAAATGCAGTCTTTAAAGGGCAGGGCAAACACGAAGCAGTGGAGTTTCCACTTCAAACGGCATTTGGTTTTTCGGCGACAATTAGCAGAAAGCTCGAACGGACCTCAGTCATGCCATTGTCGCATTAGATGGGGCTCTGGGAGGGGTCATGATATGGGGTTCTTGATTTGCACAAAATGTTTTGACATTGCAATTTTACGCTCTATTTAACACTTGCAGTCGGCAATGTCACTGAACTTTTTTTGCAGAAACGTAAGGGAGAAAGCTATGCTATATAATATGGCAGATAATTGCATTTGAAAAAGTCAAAATGCATTATCGGGTTGGAGTTTAAAGCGGTGTGATTCGGTGGAGCTTTTCTCACAATTTTCATATCGTTTTTGATTTTGTTCATCTCGTGTCTCTTGTGATTGAGATTCACGCAAATGTGACATGCTCACACGCACATTTTCGCTATCTCTACTCTACTATTGCGCATATTTCTTTCTTTATTCGTTCGATGGCCCAAAATATCTAATATTCAACCGAAAGAGATGCCTCTCAAAGATATGCGAGTATCTACAAGTGCCAACGATCATTTGTAAACTATCAGACTGATGCTAATGATTTAGAATTTATAAAAATATACAACGGTTTTCAAAGATACAAATGAATCCTATAGATAGAAAATCAAAGGACGCAAAACTATGACAGAGAAACACAAGATACGACCTTGATACAAATTGTATCTTCAAAACAGAAAAAGTATCTCAAAGAAAAATAATTAATAATTAATTCTGACACAAGAAAAAGTGTAGTCTACAATCACTTTTACCCACGACGATTATGCTGGTACAGCCAATAAATTAATGTTTTAGCAGACTCTAAGGAGATATGTAAGTGTGGGACTCATTCCATAGATAAACCCTGAGGGGCAACACAACTTGTCCAATCCAACGCACAGCTAAATACATTATAAGACCCCAGATATCGACTCATGTAGAGACAGCACTTCAATGGAGCAGATTAGCAGATCATGGCTACAGTCGAATCATCGTCAATCGTCAATCACTTCCCTATCAGCAGCTTAAGTAGTTCATTAGAAACCATTAGAATGGTAGAATGGGGGATGTTGGATCGGGCGATGGCGATGGCGATGCGCCCGAGGCTGAGACTGACTAGACGCCGCCTCCTTCCCCTCTCCACTTAAAGTACCGCAATCAAAGGGCACTTGAACAACAATTCCTCACCTTCTCGCCCAGACACAGACACGGGCCCATTGTCAAGCCAATAAAACTGGTCATCAGCCCGAAGAGCGGTGCCCAAGTCCGTGTCCGTCGGTTCGAGTCGGTGTCGGTGTCCCATTCCCATCGGGCAGATACTTATCGGATCACCGCGGGACACGGAGGCGGAGGGCGCTTGTAGCTGGGAGTGTAAGTGTAAGTAAAAGTAAATTAGATAAACGCCGAGAATGAACAATCATGCTTTATGTCGTACATTCGTTGGCTCAGTTCCGTTCCCTCTCTCTTTCTCTTTCGGGGGAGCGTTAAAATGAATCTTAATTGAACCGAAAAAGTCGACAACAACGACAGAGAGCGGCAGAGGATGGTGCGATCAAAAGGCACTTGCCGCCTTCGATCGCATGAGGAAATATGCCTGGTCAGAGCTCAATGAAATTGACAAATGTTTGGACAAATAGACAAACCAAATGATGATTCTCTGGCCCAACCCCCAACCCCCGGCCATCAGGAATTTGTGATGTTGTTTTTGTAATTATCCAGCGCAAATATTGGGTGCCGGACAGAGTGCAGAGAGTCTCTAAGGTGGTGTCTAAGGTGTATCTAAGGTGGTGTCTAAGGTGTATCTAAGGTATCTAGGGGTTTTGGGTCAAAAGTTGTGGCTGCAATTTTTGCCTCATTTAAGCGGCGAGGCGGTGTCCGCGAAGTGAGTGCCTTGCCCTTTCGGGAATGTGTTGACGTAGCGACCGCCGCGGCGCAGAGAAAGAGCAGAGAACGGAGGCAGAGCTAGAGAAGGTACAAAACAAACATCCAAACAGTTGAAGACAAGTGGAAAGGTGAGGTGTATGCCATACCCATGGATACCATGGATAAGCCCAAGGAGAAAAGTGTGTAAGAGATTTGAGAGACTGCCTGATGGATGGCCGCTGCCGCGGCGGCGAGTGAGCAAACAAGGAAAAACCTCGGCTACCCAAACAGGGTTTATCTGAAAATGTGTGCTAGCTAGCGCCCAGATAAAGTTCCGTTCCCAAAGAATGTACTCTGCATCTCCATAGTTCGAGATACTTTCGTGCCAATTAGTTGCGGGGCAATTACAGCCGAGCTGACAACTTGTCGTTATAATTAATGAAGTGTTGTCTATATATTGTGACGGCGATCAATTGGTGGCAGTTGCACATCTTGCTGCAAGGGCTGCAAGCTGGCCTCACTGGCTCCACTGGCTTCCACGGGCTGTGCACGCATGCGCCAACCACGACCACGACGCTGTGCCTATCAGAACGAACGGGCACAAAAAGCAGGCAACACCAGCACCGCACCATCGGCAACGGCAGCGAATACTTCGAGTGGCACTACGAGCCACTGACGACGTGCCCCGATGATTCAGTCGAGTTTCGAGCGAGCTGATGGACGCACGTGTGGCGCGGTGGTTGAACAAGAAACTGAAACAGAGACATCAACTGAAAGCGAAATCGAAACTCCAGAAAACGAGCCAGAAATCAGCGTGGAAAACGTGTGAAAAACTAAGCCTGAACGAAGTGTTGCATTGTGTGAAAAACATTTCAGATCGGGTCCGGAAAACGCCAAGTGATTGAACCATTATCGTGGCCAGACCATTCCCTTGCGGTGCGTCCTTGTTTTAAGATCTGTCTGTGCGGTGCGTATGGCTAGTGGCCGGCCGGCCGGTCCACAAGTGTAAATGCCAGGCGGCGCCTTTTTATGTGCATCGGAAAACCTTTAAGCTACTTAGATGGATGGATCGGTGTGAGGAGGCGGTGGCGACGACTGCGACGGCGTCGGTGGCGGTAACTGCAACATCGACGCTTCTCTTCAAACGGGTTTTCGATACGCCCGATCATCGGCAGGGGCTGGGCAGGGGGCAAATCGAACGCCTGGGACTGGGATCGAACGCCTTCGTGTGGCGCGGCCTTTTGATGTTCCCTATTTGATCAGCGAATGAACCAAGAAAGAGCCACTGGCTAAACGTTTTCCAGGAAGCCAAAAAAAAAAAAAAACACAGGCCACAAGGAAAATTCAGCCACAAAACGCACATCCACATCCACAGCGGCTAAATAAATAAAAAATCTTTTGCCGATGAAACAACACCATAACCGTTTGAAGTGCCAATGTGAAAATAATTCGAATGAGAATCAGAATCAGAATCGGAATCAGTCCAGCTGCAAAGAAAGCAAAGAAAGGAGAGCTCCCAACATCAGAATCGGCAAAGGAAACAAAAATGTAGGAGCGCGATAGAACCAAGTGGAAATCAAACGAAAAGTATTAAGCAGTCCAAAATAAGTTTACGAACAAAAGCAGCATCGGAAATTGTAACCCAAATTCATCCAGTTATCAAATACACAATCTCAATTATAAAACGCATTTCGGCATAAGGCAATCGGAATATAAATATAGAATTTTCAACAATTTTTATACCACAAAAAATTATATAAAAAACCAGTTTTGTATTACCCAAACAACAGAATATTGAAAACTTTTTTAAAACTATAAATAATTAACTATAAAGTAATAAATATTTTATGAGGTAGTAATCTAGAGTTTAGTAATTTATTAAATACACACAAAAAGTACTTACGATAGCAACACAACATAAAATCAAGAATATATCAAACGACAAACACGCCAAAAAGTAGACTATAGAAAACGCATTTAGCAAATCAACAATTACCAACAACAAATACACCAATAACCAATAAACAACAACCAGTGAAAATGCCATCAACTGCGATAATCTTTGTGGTGCTGATCCTCTGTCGCCTGGGGCTCTGCCAGGTGCGGAGTGAGGATCAGCTGCTTATGGGAAATGGCAACCTGGATAGCAGCCCTAACCTGGGACAGCACAGCCAGCACCAGCACCATCAGCACCAGAGCAGTGGCATAAACATGAACCACAACAGCACATTGCTGAACACCCTGATGGGGGGTACCCAGGGCGTGGGATCCGGCGGAGGGGCTCTGATCAATCAGTTGGGCGGACTGGCAGGCCTCGGCAGCAGTACATCGAGTGCTCCCTCTGTGGCGACAGGTGGAGGCGGCGGCGGCGGAGGTGTTTCTCCCTGGCACGCAGGAGGAGGAGGGATGCCAGGTGGAGGCGTAGGAGTACCAACTCATGGAGGCGGTGGCCACCCACATGGACATGCCCTGGCCGGACTGGCAAACCTTGGCATCATTGTGCCCGGAACCAAAGGATTACCCGCCAATCTGGGATACGGCGGAACAATGCTTAATGCAGGACTGCCAGGTGGAGTGGGCGGCGGCGTTGGAGGAATGCTGGGTGGCGCCGGGATGATGGGAGCTGCCTCCAGCAATGGCATGGACATGCAGAGCCTGTACAAGTGAGTCAGAACACAGCTATTCCGCATCAGCATCTTAATTGAACAGAAACCTTATCAATTGATGAAGATCTTTCACTCAGCCATCAAATTGTTTTGTCCTACGACCATGTGTGCAGAGCCAGTATTTTATGGGCGCTTTTTTTATGGCATACGAGTTTTCTCTCCCCAACTCGCATTTTTGAACTGTTCAATTTGTGGCTCACCACCGCTGGAGCCTCCGTAGGCTCCATGGTCGGACAGAAATCAACGCTTACAATTATTATCTTTGACTGAAATTATTAAAAAACATGTCTAGATGTTCCATGTTTAACCCGCGGACTGGCCTTTGGCTTGCTTGAATCTTGATTTGCTCGACTTCCATGAACTTTGATAACATAAAAATCAAGAGTTTATTCGTTAAAGTAATGTCAGATGTTGGTAATTAGGTGAATTGAAGGGCTCTGCTCTCGTAGAACAGCTGAACACTTGCAAATGGGAGATCTTCAGAGGGCGTATGGCAATTAAAATTTATATAAATTGATGCAAAAGTTCAGCTTGATTAGTTAGAACTTTGGATATTCTGGGGAAATAAGATGTAGTTGTAGAACTTGTGGGTGAATTCTTTAAGTATTAGAGCTGGAAGCGCATACACTACATATATTTGGCAGTTTGAGATGATTAGATACCGTTTCTTTCATTTAATTTCAATAAACCTGTGAGAGGCTTTCTCTAGATTTCTCTCACATCAAACCTACAAATGTATTGCCCTGAAATGCAATATGATCTATTCTATTCTTACAATTTGAATACAATTTTCCCTTTAAATTGCCCACTTATTGAACTGTCATCGTTTTGAAAACTCTTTGGCTTAGGGTTTTTTTTTTGTATCTGTTGAGATTCGATTTCATTTCCGGAGATCTCTGCTGTGCGGCTTTCGATTGCCAAGTCAAATAAATAAATATCACTCGAAATATGCAACAGTAGGCAGCAGAGGCCACCCGACAGATAGACAGACGGACAGGCATTCGAATGGGCAGCACTCTTGAGGTCTCTGCTGTCTGCTGACAAATGCAACATACGTCCAAACACAGACAATGGTCCGTGGTAGACTGTTGGGGGTGGGGGGGCTTAAACAATAAAGTAATATTATTTATATTTGTTTTGTTTTATTTTGCGGCTGTCAGCCAAAAAAGGCCGCTAATGGGGAGGTGGGGTAGATGGCCCACGGATTGCCGCCTCACTGTGGTGGATGCAGCGGATTTGGTGGAGTTGCCTGTTGTCAAAATGCTGCTAGCCGCCTTTTTTATGATTATTAGCAGATGGGAACAGCGTCAGGAAGGGGTCTGGGAGCTGCCTGTGGTGGCGGAGCGTAAATTTTACTTACACTTCACCATTAATTTGCGCACTGACATGGGGAGCAGAAAGCAGAAGGCGGAAAGCACAGGGAGTGCAGGCAATGGAGTAGCAGGACTACCGGTTATTATTTGTCATTACAAAACCACCCAACTCCATGAAAGGAGGGTTTGCTTTGGACTCGATACTGTAGATACCCTGGAAGCGGCATCAGTTCTATTACAAACATATTATTATATTTTCCCCGAATTAGAATACAATTTGTAGGGGCTTTTTTTACACATGTCTTGCACAATATATTTCTTCCGAGTTATAAAGAAATATCACTGAAAAGTGGAATAGTTATCCGATTTACCTATAAACAATTCTATTGGAAATAGGTGGATGTTGCAAACACCTGATCCAAGTCATTTCAAAATAGGGAGAGAGCCCATATCCATAATATCCCTGCTGGAATATGGTCTAGTGCTTTGGCTGCGGCGTCCCCATTTGCAAAAACTTCAGGAATACTTGGTAGAAAGTAGGGGTAGAAAGTGTTTCACTTATTTTGCCTTTCCTTCGTTTTTTTCTGATGTAATTTATTTATTTCTTTGCCCCACGCCACATGCATTGACCCAACGGGCTAGACAACAGAAATCGATAGACAGGGGGCACCAGCTACCATCTACCGGTACCATATACCATATACCATATACCATCCCATACATTCAGTCTAGTTCCGTTCCATACCATTCGATTGAGAGGGGGGCGGGGACGGGGACGGGGCGAGGGCCCAGCTGGGTTCAGTCAGTGTCCATTTGAGACCTGCTTGATTACAATTAATCGGCTTATTTGAGGAAGACATCGCTGTTTGCTTGCCATTTGCCTGCCTGCTTCGGATGCGTGTGTGGGTCTGCCCGATCCCCTTCCTTGGCCTGCGGCATGGCACCTGCAGTGGCAGTACAAAGTGCGATTTTATTGATTCGAAATGTCAGCACAAATCAAAAAAGTCAAATCAACACTCAAATGTTACACAAGATCAACAGAGGCTCTTACGAAACTGTGAGAGATGTGAAGATGGCTGGCCATTGCTGTGGTATGTTTTTGAATCGTATAATGGCAGAATCGTGAGATCAATTTTTACCATTAGGGGCGACTAATAATCCTAATGAATGTAACTGAAAGGTGGCACAATTAGATGGTTTTTATGGCATCTGAGATCCCTCCCGCACAGCCACAGCCACGCCCATGGCAGCTCTCCACCAAGAGTGCTTTAATTGTATTTTTTTGCAACTAACCTTTTCCATAGCTTTCTGCTTTGCTTTTTCGTCTCGCATTCGAGTACGCGCCAAGTTCTGAATATTCCGCTCATCCGAAAGTGCTGATTGGCGTTATGCGTTCAAATTTAACAGTGAGTCAGTGCTAATAATTAAGGGTTAGGATTCTATAATTGCTTAAAGATGTAATTACAATTTTATCTAGGACTTGGAACCTGAATAATCTAAAGGATTACTCTAACTGCCGTCCAGAACTTATCCATCCATCTTTATAGATAGATCTAGCAACGGCTCAATCGCTTCCCCTGTATTTCATTAACCAATTAACCCTTAAGTCGAACCTTGAATCAATGACTCCTCTGCCAACCCTTTTCCCTCTAATACCACTACTTAACCACTTCAACACCTGTCAAAAATGACATCAGTATTCCGACCCAAAAGCCCTTCAACAACATTAGCAACTCAAATCTCCCCGAACAAATCGCGGAGATTCGATCACTAAAGGAGGACAACCAGGAGGCAGACCAAAAGCGACTATGTGACGCCTGTTTACACAATCAATATGCACAAAATGCTGATTAGGGGATGTAATGAAAATTTAATAATTGCCGTCAGGGGGCACTCGATGATGAAGTTACTCGAAGTTCCCTTTCCTCCCATTGGAAGGAGGAAGCGAAATGAAAGGAAATTCAGGGGAAGGCAGTCGTAATTAATCTCCGATGTCGGGGTTGGATTGGCGATTCAGAGAGTAATCTAAGAACCAGAAATCCCAAAATCAAGAGACGAACCCAAAAAGCAAATAGAAACAAAAACCGTATAGCCGATGGCTCTGGAGGGGGGGTCTGAGGCCGGGGCCGAGGCTCACGGGGTTGGTTTCAATTTCAGCATTTTGACAGACCAGACCCAAAAGCAAAAGGCAAATAATGTAATAATGTTTGACAGTCTCTGGTAGTCTCCGGTCTCCCGCTCGCACTCTCCTCTTAGCTGCCTGTCTTTCTGTCCCACTCTATGACGTCTGTTGTTTTGTTTAACAGACATTTATGACATTATACGGCGCAAAATTATGTTGTTACAGGGTAACGAAAGCCAACCCCGCCAGGAACAGACCGACAACCAGACCCCGAACACCCCTTTGTCCTGCCGTGATTTCATTTGCCTTCCAAGCGGCAAATCTGTTCTGTTTAATTGTGCGTAAGACAGCCAACGTCTCCTCCTCCTGAAGTTGCGAGAAGGTTCGGGTTCCCCTTCTTTTTCCTGCTACTCCCAAAAGTTAAATATTTGTCAAAGAGTAATTAAAACTTACTTACCGTTTCCTTGGCTACCGCTGATTCCGTTCGAACCCTCGCTCCCGGCTTTCATATTCTGCTCATAACTACGAGTGTAAGTTCTGCTCCATTGTTGTTTGGATAAAAACTTTCTGCCTCTACGACATTGTCTATATCATCTCCATGTAGTGTCTGGAGATGGAGTTGAAGTTGAAGTTCCTTCTGCAGCCCTGGCGGAAGCATAAAAATGTTAATTTCCACAACAGAAAAGAAAAGCTTCTTTTGTTGGCCGCAAATTATGGTCGAGGGTCCTGGTCCTGGTCGTGGTCCTGGTCCAGGTCCAGTGGGCACCTTGGGGTACTTGCCTCTCTGCTCCTCCTTTTACCCTCTCAACATTGACGATAACGATTATGTGCAAAGTTTTGTTTTTTATTCTCTCCGCAAAATTAAAAATATCCAGGGAAAATCCCTTTTAACTGCAGTTGGCCTCCGCCATGTGGCACCAAACACCCGAAATTTATTTGTCTCAATTCCGACGACACGACGACAATGAAAACGTCGGCAAAATCAGAGGCTGGGAGGCTGGGAGGCTGAGAGGCTGGGAGGCTGGGAGGCTGGGTCTGAGGAACAGCAGCTGGACGACTTCTGGACCTGGCGGCTGTCTGTCCTTTGTAAATTCGTACTTACATTTGCAAAATGAAATGAAATTGCAGGCATAAAGCGGTTCCCTTTCTTGTAATGTGCTGCCATTTCATGCAGATATATTTGTTCATTTTTCGGCGATGGTAAAGGAATTTTTGGTTCTTTTTGGGGGACTGGTGACGCACTTAATAAGAGATAGCTGACTCATACCTATTGGAAGATGTACTTTGCTCTCCAATTGATCTGCTATAATGTTGAGCCACAAGAAGGTATATTGATATGTTTCGATCTTGTCTTTTCGACTCTAAACATTCCATCTAAGACTACACTTCCTTGCCACAGCATTCTCTGTTCGTCGTGGTTCTTATTTTTTTTCGAATATATTTTCTCGTACATTTTTTCTAATAATTTCGCTGCCAACAATTTGCTGCCATTTGCCATTTGAACTTTTTCATTTTGTCGTTTTTGATGGCTGCGTTTTATGAGGCCGTTGTCTCTCAACTTG